TGCGCTCAGACTACTTGGTGTGTTTAAAAATCTCATTTGAAATTTATAGCAGCATGCATTATTAAAAGACACTGGAGGAGTGGAGACAAGAGAAAGTGCGAGCGAGTCAGGTTAATGGGAGCTGCAGAGACAGACTGGTTTAAAATTAAGGCTTTAAAATGGAGACAGTGAAAATCAGTAGCCCCTCACTGCAGAACACAAAATCCAGGGGCCGTTGTTGGATCTACATCTAGAGGGTGGAGATTGGTAGGTTTAGGGATCAGGGGGTGAAGACGGGTAGGTTTAGGATCAGGGGGTGAAGATGGGTAGGTTTAGGTATATGTAAGGTGGGAGAAGTGGACCATCTCGTGAAAATGGGATATTTTTGTGCAACAGACGGGAAGAGGAGGGGCTGATTGGAAAGAGAAAAAAGAAATAGCTCAGACACTACAAATGTATAAGGACATGTTGGTTTAGCCAACATGCTTGGCATATGATTACATAATGATGTTTTGTATATTATAGTGAACATAATCATGTAATATGTTGAAGTGCATGATAATGCTGCCAGACAGGAAGGGAGGGTGGGCCAGGGCAGCAAAAATAAGGAAGTTCTTAAGTCAGACACGACAGAGAGAAAGATTTCTGACTGCAACAATTACTGCTGAAACATTATTTTTGATGACGGATCCTTTGGTTTTTACTTTGGGGACAAAAAAAAAAGTGTTCATTAGGTACAAAGTCCCTTTAAGGCAAGTCATTTCACTAGGCGGCCATCTTTGAAACGCCTCTGGGTCATGCAAGTGCAGCTCCTATCTCTTTGAATGGGGAACATCAAATTCGCTAAGCTTACAATTGAATTTCATATTTGAAATCACCGATTAAATCTGACAACAACTGTCTCATAAATGTTGTTTCTTTTGCTCAAATAGCGTCAAAAAAGCTTATTTTTCAGCCTAGACAAGCCAATGCGCATGCGCAGTCCTAAGCGCACGTCTCCAGAACGCTGACTGTTTCTATAGCAACCGGGACTTCTAACGCAGCTGCAGTGACGCAATGACTTATACCAGGTGCGTCCCAAATCGCGCACTATTTTATGATGTGCATTCACACTGAAAATTCTAAAAAGAAAAAGTGCACTTTAAATACCTGTATGATGCACTTAAATAACCGAAAAAAACGAAGTGTGGAATGTTGCGGTGTGTCCGAAATAGGTAAGCTACTACATTTGAATATGAATTTACTTCACAACCTTTAAAAAAAGTACGTTCTAAATAGCATGAATTTGGGTAGTATGAATGAAATTCGGACGTACTACATCCGCCATGTTGTTACTGTCACATGACCTATCTGCGTCATTTGCGTCGCTTCACTTCCATTCATAAATCCTCTCCCTTGGCCTCATGGGATAGTAAAGTGTCCATCGAATGCACACTTCAGAATCCGAGCGGAAGAAGTAGGTCATCCGGGTACTTTTCGCCTACTGTTTTTCGAATACTGTTAACTCGGACATACTACTCGCCTCACGTACTGTTTTTCAAATACTATATAGTAGGGAAGCATGCGATTTCGGACACAGCATTGGACACTTCATACACTCAACTGTTGCAGCTTTAATTACGTAGCGGAGGGGGTGGGGCTAACAGACGCTGATTATGAATGACAAAATAACCTTAATTCATGGTTGAGTACATAGTGCATAAGTACATAGTGTAAAAGTGCATAGTGTATAGTGCGTCATTTGGGACGCAGCTACAGATTATCGATTGGCTCGTTTACTCAGAAGGCAAAGCTTCCTTCGACAGAGCAGCCATATTGAGCGTTGCATTTATGCCCATTCAAAACTATACGAGTGACACGTCTTGGGTATTCTATAGTCTTTGATAAGTATCATAAGGCGGTTCAAGGGAGATAAAGACAATAACACAAAATCATCCTAAACACATTGGGAAAGTTGGATGGATGAAGTAGCAGCAATAGGGTAACTTTATTAAATTTTTGTTGCCTGTTTTTATACGTAAGTCTTATTCACATATTACATGCAGGTTTGTACAACAGGTGTTTTTATTATTCTGTTCACATCTTGTCTAATATGTTTTATATTGCCTGAAATATACCATTTAAAATTTGGGGTCAGTAAGATTTGTTTTGGGGAAAAAGCAATACTTTTATTCAGCAAGGATACAGTAAATTGATCAAAAGTGACATTAAAGACATTTATAATGATACAAAATATTTATATTTCAAAAATATTAAACAGCACAACTGTTTTCAAAATTACTAATAATCAGAAATGTTTTTTTGAGCACTAAATCAGCATATTAGAATGATTTCTGAAGGATCATGGGACACTGAAGACTGGAGTAATGATGCTGAAAATTACATTTACACAGTTCCTAAATACAGTTCCTAATTTCCAAATATGTCCTTATACATACTCTGAACCGATTTGAGAGAAACTGGAAGAGAGGTTAAAGGGGTCATGTGATGTTGCTAAAGAGTTATACTTATACTGTCTTTTTACGCGTTGCGTTGCGTATCACGCTGTGTAAACATAAAACCATGTCTGCATTTGTGATCGGAGAAATGACAAACAACAAGCGCTACTCTACA